ATCAATTGTATTGCTAAGACGACAATATTGTACTGGTTCGATATATTTAAATACAACACAAATGTAAAGAAGCCTGTATTTTTATGGTATTGACTGTAGCTCTTATGTAAAATATTTAATATGTAAATTGTGCTCTTATGTAAAATATTTAATATGTAAATTGTGCTCTTATGTCAATATTTTTCACTGATAGAACAATAATATTTTATTAGTAAAGGACATATCGACTTTTCTAAAGAGGAATACGTGTCTATATAAGTACATATGTTTGAACCTTTAATGTTTCTTTAATTAGTAGTAAAAATTGACAGGACAATGGAAGATATAAACGTTGGAAATAACATACTGTTCACGTGTTGTTTAACGTCCACAAGAGATCGTTCGGATTTTATAAATTTTGCATACTCTAAACACTATTGTATACTCAAAAGACATTAGGAGTTCTTCTTCGCAGCAAAATTTACTTTAATGAAAATAATTGGACTTTTGGCAAGATTAGAGAAAATGGTGTAAATCACGGATTAAGTTTTTTCACTTCTATCGACATTGCATTTTACGCGGCTTGTGTTACTGTCTGTATTTTTAAGAAAGACACAATGTTTTTGCTATAAATATGGCAAATTACGTGCATACAGAGTATAGTATAATACAAGTTTCTCTAAAATACTTCTTAAAACACCTCTGCAAATTTTTGTTAATACATTGTGAAAAAGATCATGCAAGAGTTAGGTGCCTGTAGCTGCCGATTTACTTTTTATACGCATTTCTGTATGTAGCTCACGTTCTCTTAGAAATAGAGATATTTTCGATAAGTGAAATACTATAATATAGTATATAATATTGCTTATAATATATAAGTTATCGTTATCGAGATATAAATGTTCGAAATTATTGTGTCCATAATAGCTTTATATATCTCGATAACGGTTAACGAGAAGCTAAAAAAAAATCTGATGTTCTGAAAACGTCTCAACATCATCTACAAGAATACAAAATCAAAGATATACAGTGGGTCACAAAATTATTCGCTCAGTCGATAGTGTGGTAAAGATAAATGAAGTAACCATACAACGAAGAACTTTTTCAGATTTCTTTTAATGGATATACATTATTTACAGTTCAGTGTAACAAAATGGTATAAAAAAGTATAA